ATGTTGTTCTGTTAAGTTATTTCCTAAGCATACCGAAAGAATTCAGATTTGGTCACCGATTTTGTTTTAAGATTCGAAAAGAAAGGGCATTTAAGAAATATATACCCAAATTTGGGCTCTGTAGCTCTAACGGTTTAGATTATGGAAATCTTAGTTTAAGACCAAAGTTTAGACCAAAAATGTGGACTTGACAGTTGCTGTGGATATAGTTCTATGAACCTTTACAGTAAGGTAAAATACACCATTCGAAAGAGAACTAAAGAAAAATTCAAAACCAACTAAAGCAAAAAGGAAGGTGGATTTTTGTCTCCAAATCTTCTATCAAAATTATCAACAAAATTTAGCAGAACAGTGCAACTCTTAAACCAAAACTTTATGATCTCTAATTAATACCGCGACCCTTCCCCACCCCCTCCCGGACCTGCTCCACGCCCACTCCACGCCGGCGTGCTGCTGCACCCGCTCTCAGCGAAGACGGGACTCTCCCGCGCGGGATTACGCTGGTACCTAGACGACCCCGGGCGGGCCAGAACAAACCCTCGTAACTACACGGAAAAAAATTACTTCGTCGTGAGGATCAATTATGTTTGGTAGGCTAAATTCGATAGCTGGAATCGAGAATCCGATACTCACAAGCAGGAGCTGGTTGCCACGACCGGACACTTCTACGAAGAGAACAAACTCCAGCTTGGTTCTCTCCGTACAAGTGTCCGGTCGTTTCAACCAACTTCTGCTTGTGAGTATCGAATTCTCGATTCCAGCTATCGAATTTAGCCTACCAAACGGAACTGATCCCCACAACCGAGTCTCTTTTTTTCGTGTATCGCAAATGCCCACAGATGCGAAACACCCTTCGGATTACCCGTCGTCAGCGAATTTCTCAGCGAATCCGTTTCTCCCGGGTAATTGACCGACCATTTCACTCGGTGGCCGCACTGGCGGTCTTCCGGTTGGTACAACATCTGTTTATAGCCCTCGGAGGCGGCCTAGTATGTGTTTTGTGGTTTTCGACGCAAAATTCGAGCTCTCTGACAACTAAGCAACGATCAGGGGTCACATCTAATGAAATATTCTAGTCCTTACTAGATCATAAAGGTCGTTGTACCAACCGGAAGACCGCCAGTGTGGCCGCTGGGTGAAATAGTCAATTAATTCTTCCATCTCTATGCATATATTCAAATATCTCCGCCATGTGCATTCACTACCCAATAGACTGACTTCTACATTCACTTCTCTGCGACACGCGCCATCCTGTAGACAATCAATAAACTCTCTCGCCACTCGCTCAGAGTTTGGCCAGCCTCCGACAGCGTAACAAGTGGTTGTTATTATCCTTGAACATCGTTCAATCCTCACTTGAGTATTCACTGAAAACACTAGATTAGGAACACACATATACTTTACAACATCGTGATCCCTCCAATGCCTCGGGGAGATCTGGTAAAAATGTATGAAAGAGTAATACTTGTCGTAGGAGAGAAGTTGAAATGTATTTTAAAATTAAATTAAATATTAGTGTATTTAATTCCACTTCAGCCAGAGACAATCTAACAAAATTTCACCTTTCACAAATAAATGGATTTGGTTAGTATAAAATTTACAGAAAAGGGTAAGTTAGGTTGGGGGAGGGCAGTGGGGATAGGAGTGGGACAGTAGCCCATGTTCTACATGGGAGGTTTTCAAAATAAGGGACATGTTTGGCCTCCTAAAACCTCAACAAAAAACATAATGAATTTTTAGCAGATGATACTTCCAGTATCACTGCTTGTACAATACCTAATTTAACATATGTGAAGCTAATATGAAGCTAATATGAAGCCCCCACCTATATATATTAAAGCACCCATTATA